CTTTCTTAGTTGTTTTTTAAAAATATTTTATTTATTGCCAGACATGGTGGCCCACACCTTTAATCCCAACAGAGACAGATAGATCTCTGTGAGTTCAAGACCAGCCTGGTCTACATAGTGAGTTCCAGGTCAGCTGGAGCTATAGGGAGACCCTGTCTTAAAAAGACAAAAAAAAAAAAAGATTTAATTATCTTTTTTAATGTATAGGAGTGCACTGCCTGCATATATGTAAGTGCACCCAGGTTGTGCAATGTCCGTGGAGGTTAGAAGAAGGCATCGGATCCCCCAGGAACTGGAGTTTCAGACAGGCATTAGCTACCATGTGGGTGCTGGGAACCAAATCCTGGTCTTCTGCAAGAGCAGCCAGTGCTCTTAACCACTGAGCCATCTCTCCAGCTCCACTTCTCTTAGTTCTTCAAAAGGGCTGTTGTTGCTCTGGGCCTGGGCTCTTTCTCAGGTCTTCTGCTGAATGAAGCTCAAAGTCCTCAGAGGCCTTTTCTCACCATGCTTAAGGCGAGGCCACATTCCTTAGTGTTCTAAGGAAAGGACTGCTTCGCAGTGAAACTCAAGCAGAGATAACAGAATTGCAGAGATGATGAAAAGCTAGCCCTTAATCTGGTTACATTCTTCTAACTCTCCTTTCTCCTCCTCTCCCACCTTCCTCTCTTTATTTCTACTGGAAGACTTTTGTTTTTTGTGGTGCTGGGGATTAAACTCAGAACCTTACTCAGGATACATCCGCTGGCCCTGGAATCCTAGACATCTTTAAGGCTCAGATCAGATTTCCCTGCTCCAGAAAGCCCTCTCATAACACCTGGCTCAGGAATCTGTTGAATGAAAGTAAGAATTGTTGTAGTTTGAAAGAAAGCAGATTTCTGGCTAAATGTGAGGGTTGGACACGTGCTTATCTCCACTCACTCCTGAAATTCCACTAAAATGACTGTAAACGGATTAGGAAGATGTTTAAACTCATAAGGACTAAAGGAAAGATAAGAAAGAAAAGTTAGACCCACACCTCACACCATATGTGAAAATTAGCTCATGGTAGGTATATTCGTTCATACCCATAATTCCAGCACCCCAAAGGCTTAGGCAGAAAGATCACAGTTACAAGTTCCAGGCTAGCCTGGGCTACATAACAAGACCCTGTTTCAAACAAAAGGATAGAGAGAGGGAGGGAGAGAGAGAGAGAGGGAGGGGGGAGAGAGAGAGAGAGAGAGAGGGAGAGAGGGAGAGAAGGGGAGGGAGAGAGAGGGAGAGCGAGAGGGAGAGAGCAAACATCAAAGATTTAAAGGTCTAAATATAGGGGCTGGAGAGATGGCTCAGTGGCTAACAGCACTTGCTGCATAAACATGAAGACTGGAATTTGGATCCCAGCACCCAGGTAAAAAGCCAGGCAAGGTCTCACATAGATCTGTAAATCCAGAAAGGGAGGTAGGGGTGGGGGGCAGACAGAAGAGGATATGGGGCTTGTTGACAGCCAACCTAACTGAATACATAAGCTCCAGGATCAATTAGAAACCCAGCCTCAAAGGAACAAGGCAGACAGTGACAGAGGACACCAGTGCCCTTCCCTGGCCTCTGTGCACATGCACAGGCATGCATACAAATGTGTATACACCACACACACACAAATTTAAATATAAGAACTAAAACCACACAACTCTTGGAAGAACACATAGGGTTAAGTCTACATGGCCTTGGATTTGGCAATGAATTCTTATATATGACACCAATACAAGCAATAAAAGAGGAAAAAAATAATCAAGTAGAGGTCATTAAATTTAAAAACTCGGCAGGAGGCTGGAGAGATGGCTCAGTGGTTAAGAACACCAGTTGTAGCAGGGCGTGGTGGTGCACGCCTTTAATCCCAGCACTCAGGAGGCAGAGGCAGGCAGATCTCTTGAGTTCATTCCCACAGTTTCCGGCTTAGATGAGTTCTGGGCAATAAAAAGCCAAGTAATGGAAGCAAGGAAGACAACGTGCATTAAAACATCTTCATGCAGGCAGGGTTCAGCTACCAGTCTACGTAATTCAGCCTGTCAACTATACAAATGTTAAACCATTTCTACCACATAATTTTGTCTTCTGAGTAGATTTTCTGCTCTTAAACATCAAAAGTTTAATGCTTCAGACCGGGGAGATGGCTCAGCAGTTAAGAACAATGGCTGCTCTTGCAGAAAACCCGGGTTTGAATCCCAGCACTCACATGGCAGCTAACAACTGTCTATAACTCCAGTCCCACGGGATCCAACAGCCTCTTGTGACCTCCAAGGGCATTGCATGACACGGGTGCACTTACCTACATGCAGGCAATATACTCATACGCATAAAATAAAAGAAATAAAAAAAAAAACTTGGGCAGGCTGGGTCTGGAGAAATGGTTCAGTGGTTAAAAACACTGGCTGCTCTTGCAGAGGACCTGTGTTTGATTCCCAGAACCCACATAATGACTAACAACCCTCTGTTACTCCAGTTCCAGGGGCTATGATGCCCTCTTCTGACCTCCATGGACATTGCACAATATGGATACAATTACATACATGTAGTAAATATACTTATACTTAAAATTAAATATATATACTAAAAAAAAAAAAAAACCCTCAGGCATCGTGGCTCACACTGGTAATTCTGGCACTCAGAAAGCTGAAGCAGAAGGATCTCAAATTCACGACCAGCCTGGGTTATATGGCATTCTTGGCTAACCTGGGCCACAGAGGGACATTAAAAACTTTTTTTTTTTCCCTTGATCTTTTTTAAACAGAGTTTCCCTGTAGCCCCAACTAGCCTGGAACTCACTATGTAGACCAGGCTGGCCTTGAACTCACAGATACACCTGCCTCTGCCTCCCAAGTGCTGGGACTATAGGCGTGTGCCACCACACCCAGCTCTGACATTAAAAACTTTTTCCATCTGTAACTCCCTTTCACCTGAGAAGTTTTTATATGACCCTGAGTATGTAGGTCTACAAAATAGATATACAAAAGTCAAACTGAGAGCTAGGCATGGTGGTGCACGCCTGTAGTCCCAGCACTCGGGAGGTAGAGGCAGGTGGATCTCTATGAGTTTGAAGCCAGCCTGGTCTACATACAGAGTTTGAGGCCAGCTGAGGCTACAGGGAGATCCTGTCTCAACAACAACAAGAAAAAAAACTAAAAAATAAAAGTCAAACTGACTGATGATAATAAATCACAAAAATATTTTGAAACAATTCTTTGGCATACATATAATTTTTACCATTTATTAAAAACAAAAGCAAGCAGGGCATGATGGTAGGTGTCTGTAAGTTCTACATTTGAGAAGTGAAGGCAGAAAAATCAGGAGTTTAAGGTTAACCTCAGCTAAGACCCTGTTTCCAAAAAAAAGAAAAAAGGCTGAGTAGTGCTCAAGAGGCAGAAGCAGGTAGATCTCTGTGAGATAGAGGCCAGCCTGGTCTACATAGTGAGTTCCAGGCTAGTTGAGGCTAGATGGGAGACCTTGTCTCAAAGACAAAAAAACAAACAAACAAACAAACAAAAAACCAACAAAGCAATAAAAAAAGAAAAGGGCTGGTAAGATGGCTCAGCAGGTAAAAGCACTTGCCTCACAAGCCTAACAACCTGAGTTTGATCCCCTAGAATCCACACAAAGGTGAAAGAAAACTGATTCCACAAAGTTGTTTTCTGACCTCCACAATTCACTGTAACACAAGAATACCATACGCATACACACACACACTAAAAATTTTAAAACATGAAATCAGATTGGCATACTTAAAAATAACTTTCATGCATCAAGCCAACTCAGGGAATGAGTGGGAGGAAATATTTGCAAAGTACATCTCTCATAAGGGCCTAGTATCTAGACTACTAATGAACTCTTACAATTTAAAAACAAAAGACAACCCAATTAAAAAATGGGCAAAAGAGGGCTGGAGAGATAGCTCAGTGGTTAAGAGGACCCGGGTTCGATTCCCAGCACCCACATGGTGGCTATGAGCTGTCCTTAACTCCAGTTCCAGGGGAATCCAAAGCCCTCTTCTGATATCCATGGCATTGCACGACATGGGTCCACTCACATACATGGAGACAATACACTCATAAACATAAAATAAAAATAATAGGGGCTGGAGAAATGGCTCAGTGGTTAAGAAAACTCATTGTTCTTGCAGAAGACCCAGGTTCGAATCCCAGCACCCACATGGCAGCTAACAACTGTCCATAACTCTAGTCCCAGGGTATCCAACAGCCTCTTCTGACCTCCACAGGCATTGCATGACACAGTTTCATTTACCTACATGCAGGCAATACATGCATACACATAAAATAAAAAAATTAAAAAATAAAAGAAAAATAATTTTTTTTAAAAAAAGGGCAGAATATTTGAATAGATATGACCAATAAGTGCTCGGAAAAAATGCTCAACATTACTAGTTGTTAGAGAAATGCAAGTCAAAACCACAATGAAGTCCAGCAAGATGGATCAGCAGGTAAAAGGGCCATACATCCCTAGAACCTGCATGATGGAAGGAGAGAACAAATCCCAGTCTAGAGAATCTGATGCCCTCTTCTGGCCTCCAAGGGTAGTGCATTCATATGCACAAACCCACCTGCCCACTTCCCACATATATAATTAAATTTTGATTTTGATTTTTTTTTGAGACTGGGTCTCACTATGCAATCTTAGCTGGCCTAGAACTCACTACGTAGACCAGGCTGGCCTGGATCCCATGAAGACCCACCCGCCTCTGCCTCCTGAGTGCTGGGATCACAGGCGGTTATGAAAGAAGGAACACAGGACCGACAAGAGGGGAAACAGTGAGAATGTGCTGGAGATACTAGGGGAGAGGGTCTGGTGTTTTTTTGATTTCTGACAAGCACCTAGATAAAGAAATAATGGGATAAGATTTATTTTTTTTAATATTTTATTTGTTTTTTTAACAGAGCATACGGTAGGGGTTTATTTACCACATTTATGGCTATGCCATAAAGTCCACACTCAAATACAGATCCTATGTCCTCCTGACAGCTGCACAAAATGGTGAGAGAGGTGCCTCTTGATGTTCTTGGCTTATATAATAATGGGATAAGATGTCTAAATCCCACTATGTGCTTCAGAGTCATCCTCTCCTTCCTCAGTTTCTTTTTCATCATCCTTGACCAACTCCAGCTGGTCATCCCCTCCATCTTCTTTATCATCATCACCCAGAAGGTCCTCTTCCTCAGATTCCATCTTCACACTCGTCTGGTCTTTCTTCACACCGGCGCTGCTCGGCTCTTCTTTCGACATCTCATTCTTTACCTCCACTGCTTGTTTCCCTTGTTCTTTTTCAGTTTTTTCCAGGCTTTCCAGTAGAGAATCCACTTTTTGTTTTATCTGAGTCAACTCCTTCTTAATAGCCCGTAGGTTGTTGCCTTTCAACTTTCCAGACTTGGAAGAAGATCCCCGTTGTCCATTCTTAGAATTGAAGCCACTTTTGCCCCTCCGTGAGGTGTTTCCTGATCCACGCTGGCGTTTGGGGGGCACCACAGCACAAGCAAGAGGAGGAGGAGGAACATGTGCTGGGTAACTGTACATCCTGTCATAATAATCATAGTCCAAGTCAAATGAGGAGCCATACATCTCCACTGCAGACCTTTTCACACCTGCTTTTCCTTGGTTCATTTTCAGCTCTGCAACCCGATTAATATCTAAAACCTGGCCAGCAATCATTCTGCCATCCTCTCCTGCTGCAGCAGCCCGGGCATTTCTCTCATTAACATACTGCACAAAGGCAAAGCCCTTATGCACAGAGCAACCAACAATTTTGCCATACTTGGAGAAGATTGCCTCCACATCAGACTTCCTGACCACGAGAGTGTTGAGATTCCCAATGTATACACGGGAATTCATGGAGTGAGGATCTGTTTTATTGGTAACATTGCTAGCCATTTTCTTTGTTGACAAGGCCTTGTACAAAGCTGGAAAATGTAGCTGAAGATCGAAAAAAATCTCATAAGAGTGAGAACAGGGACGGCTCCTTCTCCCAGGTTCTATGCAGACACCAAAGACACAACACAAGAGACAGAACCAGGACCGTTTGGGCTCCGTCTCTTCACAAAATGGCTCTAAATTTTTTAAAAATTAAAACAAAACAAAACAGACATCAAGTATTATCATACATTTGAGAGACCTAACAAAAACACAGGACAAAACAAACAATTCAGAGGGAATTCAGAGGGAATAGAGAAAGTGGGGGAATAACAAAAACTGTCAAACTTTATAATTAATATAAAACCCATCAATAGCCCCAGAAGAAAATAAGAAGCAGCTATGTCAGTGGAACAACAACAGAAATCTACAAAAAGAGAACATTTAGGAAAGCCTGGCATGATGCAGCACACCTGTGATCCCAGCGAACAACAGGCTGAGGCAGAGGAACACAGGTTTAAAGCAAGTCTGAGCTACATCGTGAGTCTGAGATATAAATAAATAGGTAGAGGGGCTGGAGAGATGGCTCAGTGGTTAAGAACACTGGTTGTTCTTGCAGAAGACCCAGGTTCAAATCCCAGCACCCACATGGCAGCTAACAACTGTCCATAACTCCGGTTCCAGGGGATCTGACAGCCTCTTCTGACCTCCCCAGGCATTGCACGACATGGGTGCACTTACCTATGTGCAGGCAATACACGCATACAAATAAATAAATAAAGAGTCAAACATGTCACACACACACACACACACACACACAAATTAAATTGGCCAGGCATGGCAGTACATGCTTTTAATCCCAGCACTTGGGAGGCAGAGGCAGGCCAATCTCTGTGAGTCTCAAAAAGACCAAAAAAATAAATAAAGAGGAAATGGGGTGAGAAGAGGAGGAGAAGAAACATTAACTGAATAAAGAAAGATGTTTAGTGAATAAGCTAAAAAGTATAATTGAGTCAGGTGTGGTAGTGTACACAATCCCAGCACTTGGGAGGCAGACCTCTGTGAGTTCAAGGTCAGACTGGTCTATGTAGTGAGTTCCAGGCCAGTTGAGGCCACAGGGAGACCCTGTCTCAAAAAAGACTAAATATATATGTAAAAAAGAAAGTTAGTGCACCCCCCAACCCTGAGCTTCAGTGTCCAGAGGTTGTTTTTGATTTTTAATATTTTATTTTCATTTTTTTATGTGTATGAGTCTTTTGCCCGCATGTATGTAAGTGTACTATACATGTGCCTGGCACCCAAGGAGAGTGGGAGAATCAGATCCCCTGGAACTGGAGTTAGAGATGTGAGCTACCATGTGGGTCCTGGGAACCAATCTTGGATCCTCTACAAGAGCACCCAGTGCTCTTAACCATTATTAGTCAAGGTTCTCTAAAGAAACACAACTGCCGAGCATGGTGGTACACGCCTTTATTCCCAGCACTTGGGAGGCAGAGGCAGGCGGATCTCTGTGAGTTCCAGCCAGCCTGGTCTACATGGTGAGTTCCAGGCCAGCTGGGGCTATAGGGAGACCCTGTCTCAAAAAGGCAAAAAAAAAAGAAAGAAAAAAAGAAACACAACTGACAAAATACATACATGAATATGGATTTGTTAGGTTAGCTTACATGATCGAGACCAAGTAATCCAACAATGGCTGTGTCACACTGGAGAGGCTGAGAATCCGGCAGGCGCTCAGTCCACGAGGCTGAATGTCTCAGCAGTCCTAATCTGGCACTGAAAACCTGAAGGATCCCTGGAGATCTGCTGGTCTTCAGTCTACGCTGGAATCTGAAGTTCTATCAATGGAGGAATGACACAGCAAGATGAAACCGCCAATGAGAGAAAAGGCAAGCAGGCAAAAAGTGAAAGCTCTTTCCCACCGTGGCCCTTTATATAGGCTGCCAGCAGATGGTAACATGGGACTTTAGGGTGGGTCTTCAGGTTTCAAATAATCCAATCAAGAAAGTCTCTCATTTCCGTTAATTCCAGATCCTGTCAAGTTGACAACCAAGATTAGCCATCACAAGCACTGAGCTACCTCTCCAGCCCCAGTATCTAGCTTTTTAACTGGGGGGTCATGCTGGAATAATTATTGAATCATTATTGAAATGACTGCACTCAACTGTAGCCCCATATGCCGTCCCAGAGATCAGATTGATATCACATGACTCAAAGCACCAGTATTTTTTCGGGGTGGGGAGGATTGAAAACACCAATTTTTTTTATTTTTTAAAGTATTTTATTTATGGGGCTGGAGAGATGGCTCAGCGGTTAAGAGCACTGACTGCTCTTGCAGAGGACCCGGGTTTGATTCCCAGCACCCACATGGCGGCTACGAACTGTCCTTAACTCCAGTTCCAGGGGAATCCAAAGCCTGCTTCTGACTTCCGCGGCATTGCAGGCCACGGGTGCACTCACATACATGCAGGCAATACACTCATACACACAAAATAAAAATAATAAGGCCGGGTGTGGTGGTGCACACCTTTAATCCGAGCACTTGGTAGGCAGAGGTAGGAGGATCTTTGTAAGATTGAGGCCAGCCTGGTCTACATAGGGAGTTGCAGGCCAGCTGAGGCCAGAGGGAGACCCTGTTTCAAGAAACAAACAACAAAAAAGTGAAGACTAGATAATGAGAGAAGAGAGTGTAACCAAATATATTATTATATTATAATACATATTTATTTATATTATATATCATATTAATATTTTATTTATTATTATTATTGTGTGCTTGATGAGAATGATCTTTGTAGCAGGTATGAATAGAGATATGAAAACAAAAGAAAAATGGAACAGTTTAACTCTGAAAAAATGTATAAGAAAGGAAATGTAAAATTGGGCAGTGGCACCAGTCTGTGATTTCAGTACTTGGGCGGAGGCCTAGGCAGAAGGATCAAGAGTTCAATGCCTATGAGTTCAAGGCCAGCCTGGTCTACATAGTGAGTTCCAGGCCAGCTGGAGGTACTGGGAAACCCTGTCTCAAAAAAAAAGAGTTCAATGCTAGGGTACTGGAAAGATGGTTCAGTAGTTAAAAGCACTGGTCCTCTTGCAGAGGACCCAGATTCAGTTCCCAGCACCCACATGGTTGCTCACATCTCTAACCTCAGTTCCAGGGAATCTGAGGCCTTCTTCTGGCCAACTTGGGTACCAGGAGTAAACATGGTGGGATTAAATATAAGCAAGCAAAATATTCATATACATAAAAGTAAATAAATCTTAGCCTGGTGACACACGCCTTTAATCCCAGCACTCGGGAGGCAGAGGCAGGCGGATCTCTATGAGTTCGAGGCCAGCTTGGTCTACTTAGTGAGTTCCAGGACAGCTGGGGCTACAGGGAGACCCCGTCTCAAAATGACAAAAAATAAAAAAAGTAAATAAATCTTTAAAAACCAGGCTAAGACACAAGAAAGCCTGAAAAAGAACAAGGAGGGGGAAGAGGAGGAGGAAGAGGAGGGGGAAGAGGAGGAGGAAGAGGGGGAGGAGGAGAAGGAAGAAGAAGAAAGAACCTGGTCATGGAATCCTGACCACCTGAGTTTGATCCCCTCCCTGAACCCACAGTGGAAAAGTAGAAGAGAATCAACTTCCAAAAGCTGTCTTCTGACCTCCACACACTCAGACAGTGGCAACACGCTAGCATGTGTGCACTAAACACACACACACACACTAAATTAAAATTTTAAACAAGGGCTGGAGAGATGGCTCAGTGGTTAAAAGCACTGACTCCTTTTACAGAAGACCCAGGTTCAATTCTCAGCACCCACATGGCAGCTAACAACCATCTGTGACTCCAGTTCTAGGAGATTAGCATCCTTTTCTGGTCTATATGAACATTGCATGACACAGGCACACTTACACATATGCAGGCAAAACATTCATACACACAAAATAAAAATGAATAAATAAAACAAGGAAGAACGGAAGAAACTGTAGTTATAATATACTCATCTAGTCAAAATACTATGGATATAGTGAATATTTATTTACTAAAACTTGAGGGCCAGTGAGATGGCTTAGAGGGTAAAAGCACTTGCCTCTAAAAGCCTGATGACCTGAGTTTGAACCCCAGGAGCCAGATGGTGAAAGGAAAGAACCAACTCCCCACAAGTTGTTCTCTGACCTCCACATGCCACCCACCTACAAAAAAATAAAATAAATGTAAAATGATTTTTTTGATTGAACTATAATTCTACTGGCAGAATAAAGGAGATATGGGGGAGGAATGGCAAATGCCAGAGTTTTCTTCAATGTCAATAGAAATTTGAGTCAATTAAAAGTAGATTATTTAGGGCCCAGTGTGGTGGCACATACCTTTAATCCTAGCACTTGGGAGGCAGAGGCAGATGGATCTTTGTGAGTTCCAGGACAGTTGGGGCTACAAGGAGACCCTGTCTCAAAAAAAAAAAAAAAAAAAAATTCTTTACCCAGGTGTAGGGACGCATCCTTTTAGTCCCAGCACTCAGGAAGCAGAGGCAGGCAGATATCTGTGAGTTCAAGGCCAGCTTGGTCTACATAGTGAGTTCCAGGCCAGCTGGGACTACTGGGAGACCCTGTCTCAAAAACACTGAAAAATAAATAAATAAAAAATAAATGAGCCGGGTGTGTTGGCTCACACCCTTAATCCCAGCACTTGGGAGGCAGGCAGGCAGATCTCTATGAGTTTGAGGCCAGCCTGGTCTACATAGCAAGTTCCAGGCCAGCTGGGGCTACAAGGAGACCCTGTCTCAAAAGACAAAAACAAACAAAATAATAATAATAATAAATGAAGTAAACTTTTTTAAAAAACAGTTTGCAATCTCCACACTAGGGAGGCAGAGACAGGAGGATTACTGGAGTTTACTGGTCAACCAGTCTAGCTGAAATGGATTGGTCCAGGTGAAAGTGAAAGACCTATTTCAAAACCCAAGGGTTGGAGAGATAGCTCCGAGGTTAAGGGTATTTGTTGCTCTTGCAGAGCATCCAGGTTCAGTTCCCAGCATCCACATGGCAGCTAACAACCATATGTAAGTTCCAGGGGACTGAAACTTCCTCTTCTGCCATCCACAGGCACTGCACACAAGTGGTACACTTACATATATGCAGAGATATCACTCAGACTCAAAAAATAAACAAACACTAAGACAAAAACCAAGGTGGACATCAATTAAGAAAGACGCCAGAGATTGAAGTGTGGCTTGCCCAGGCACAGGCATACTAATGCACATGCACCTGTACACACATGTATGCCCATGCACCCTCCCATACACATATATACACACACAAAGATGAAAAACACAATGTACACATATTATTATTGTGATTTAAAATATATTTTAGGAGGCTGGGGATGTGGCTCTGTGGGAAGGACTTACCTAGCTTGCATATGTCAGGCCAAAGTTGTAGCACAACACTACAAAAAAATTTTTTTAAT